CTTTCCCACACCAGGCTGTCACTGCAGATGCAAACTCTTCCACAAATATACAAAGATTCAGCCATGTCACTCCTTGAAGGAGGTTGAAAAGCTCTGGCCCAGGGAAATTCAGAGAACAAAGTAAAAAGGCAGCAATTTCAGGGAGAAGAAAATTCATTCCTTTTCTCTCCCCCTATCCATCACAACAGCAGCATTCCTGAGTTCAAAATCAAAAGGCAACTTTCACCAAGAGGCTCCTAAAACAAGCTTTCAGTTCAGCAAGCTGGAGGAATGTCACTTTACTGGTCAGTTAATATTCTGCCCTCCAGAAAAGTTTTCATCATTGCAGGTACCCAGGGAGAAAACTGTCAGTTCAGATCATCTCTCACAAGACCACTGGACTGTGGCAGGTCTGGTCTGAGCAAACAGCTTTGCTGAATGTCCCTCTGTGGTGCCTGGAAGTGCTGGTCAGAAAGGAGGAGAGTCACCTTATGAAGGAGGGTGGATACACTGCCAACCTACAGAGACTTTTCTTGAAAACAGAGAACTTGCAGCCAAGTAAGCAGTGCTATACCCTGAATTAGTAACTATTCCAAGGAGCTTCCCATCTCTGCCAAGACAAGCTAGTGTCATTAATACCAACTTCTTTCATAAAGGCTTTTCACACAATAACCAAAGGCAAACTGAAGTAGGTCTTGTGGAAAGAGACAACCTTCAGGAACCAAACTCTAAACAGACTAGAGAAGACACAGAACCAAATCCTGGCAGAACAAAAGCATTCAGTGACTTGCAGAAGAAGACAGCAAAAGCAAGGAGACCATTCACACCAGCAGTGCATCCTCTGAGCTGTACTTACGGGAGGTGATGCCAGGTGGGAAGTAGAAGAGCTGCTGGAGGAACTACCGGAGCCTGAACTGGGATAAGAAGGCATTGGCACAGAAGCAGCTAAAAACAGCCAAAGACAAAATGAAAAGAAGTTGTCAAACTAAGATCGATAAATAATGAAAGGTCTTTGTCATCTTTTCCCCGTGAGGTTTACCTCATTTACCATCATGTACCTCACGTATCAGATGCAGCCAATTAAAAGAGAACAAAAGAAAAATTAGCATTCAATTCAGTTACATGACTCCCATCCATCCACTCCGTGCACTACTTCAGTTATAGCTCTTGGGGTGGAAGGTCTCAAGAACATCTGACCTAGGTCAGACATCTACTTGACAGCTGACCTGCACAGGTAGCAAGATGGTTCCTGCCCTAAAGAGCCTCCGAAGTGTCTTTGCAAGTGAAGGGAAAGATAAACAGAGAAGTGGACTGTGTTACTCATGACAGTGGCAGAGGTGAGAAGCAAGACCATGCCCCTGAATTTTTTTTCTTCTGATATCAGACCTCGTGGCTTAGCACACACACATCAGATGCTGGAAGGTCTGTGCTAAGTCAAACACACACCTACTCAAGCCCTGCTTGCTTGCTGCCTTAAGAGTCACTTGGGCATCCCAGGACACACACTGTAACACCTCCCCCCACAAAGGAAATATTTTATTGCTTCCTATAACTCAACACATTCTCCCTCTGACACTTCTGAGAAGCCTTAAAAATGCTTTATTTATTCTCTTTGTACAGAAGCTGCTCCACACCACTGGCTGCTCTTGCATCCCTTACTTTTATTCTTCATTGCTCAGTATCTGAACTGCCAATTCTATTCAGTTAATTGTTGAACTGGCTTTTGAAACCCTCACAGAGGCATAAAGCTCACACTGAAAGGACTATTACAATTTACTTTCAGCCAGAAAATATAATTAAAGCCTGACAGGGGAAAAAAAAAACAAAACTCCAATGACTTACACCAGTAAGGCTCAGTAAATAACTTGAGAGCTCAGCTCAGGAGGGAGACAAGTCGAATGTTAACACCCACTTTTCAACAGACTTTGAAGTATTTAGTGGTTCAAATTCCCTAGTCAACCTGCACAAGGCTGAACAGTGCAGAAGAGTCCAAACATCCCCAATTCAAGGCAGCTTGGAGTCAGCTTTTACTCTGCAGCCATTCTGGTATTTGAATGATTTAAGACAGAAATCAGAGGCAATGCTCAGGTGAGGAGAGGAGCACTTTGCTTCTCTTCCATTGTGCTGGCAAAGAATTAGCACCTTCTCTCAGATTTCTGCCTTTACAGGACCTGTGCTAGTGACTCTCTACTTCATGCAAGGAGAGTTAATAACACCTAAGAATGTTTCTGTTTGAAGCAAAGCTCCCTCTGTCATTAATCACATTAAATGCCACAAAGTAACTTACTATTCAATGAGCTCGAAAAATAAAAGTGCATCTCTCTGCAATTGACTGTTGAAACAGTGTTCTAATGATAAAAGAATGGAAAATTTCTCCTTTTAATGAAAAGCTTTAAGACATCTTTCCATGTAGCCTATCAAAGAAGGTTCAAGTACGACTGGACCAGTGGCTTCCAGCTCAAAGAGAGTACAGTAACTTAGAGTTATAACAAGATCCAACAATAGGAAAATGAAGCCAAAGAAGTGTAGACTTAAAATACACATTTTAACATAAGTAATCAACCACTGCAACAGCTTAATCAGGGTCACAGTGATCTCCTCCACCCTTTGCTAACAACAACAAAAATCCAATGTTTTTCTAAAGAGGATAAGTTATACTGCAAATAGAGATTGATTCAAGATTCCCAGGGGCAGTGCAATAGGAAGCCAGAGCAGAGTGACACTCATGTGCAGGTTCCTTCCCCTCCTCTGTTGGGCCATATTGACTGTGCTCACTCTGCCAGCTTTTGGATGGTTAGAACCATCAAGAAATAAGCCTCTCAAAGCTTTGGAAAGACTACTACATGTATTCAGCACTTGATTTTGTGCCTGGGATGGACCGTGCTGTTAAAAAGCACTGTCCTGGCTCTGGAAAAGGAACAGGGATGGCAGTGCCCTGACAATTGCAATCCTGGGAGGTCAGCCAAGGGCTTGGCACAGAGTTACACTGCCTGCACCCCATGTGCTCCTCCAGCACAGCTAGTCCCACTCCCCACACTCAGGGAACACACACAGAGGTCTGAGAACTTGCCTGTAAAACAGAGAGCTCTGTCCTGACTATACTACACTGCCTTTGATCTCCATCTTTCCACAGAGCCTGCAGAGCAATACCTACTACCTTTCCTATGTATTTAACACCAGAAGTCTAGAGAGGTGCTACAGAACAATTCACCCCTGTACAGACAGACCTTTCTACTATGGAAAGGTGCTTCTAAGAAGAGGCAAGTGATTTCTGAACTGTACCTACATGTGCCTGCTGCAAGACTTGCATCACTGTTCATTTTTACTGGCATTAGTATTTTTGTTAGAGTAACTTCAGTTCTCCCTCAAGGTCCCCTCCACTCTATTTTGATTCTGTGTTTATTATTGATTTTAACCTGGCTGGAGTTGACATTTTTCTATTTTTGTCTATTTGCTTTGGACAGCTTCCCTTAATCTAGGAAGGAAGACAAGCAGGTAGACTTTGCCATTACCATCTGAAACTCGAGTTAAAACTCTTTTTAGATGAAGCACACCTTGAGATTTTGTCTCTACTAATCATGTTCTTATTTGGAACACTTAACTCCCCAAATTAACTGCTATAATGTCCAACACAAAAGGTCCAACACTAAAAATGGACTTTCATGCATGCAGAACCACAGGGTTTGGCTCCAACAAACCCTCTCTGACCATCATATCCCTGTTGGTGCATTTTGCAGCAGCAGCCATGTAGGGCAGCTTGAAAGCAAGACACTCACTTCTCCACACACCCAGGCACTCCCTGCCTAAAATTAAAAAGGGTGCAAACACTTGGCTCATCATGTTTTCAGCTCAAGTCTGAATGCAGGGAATGTTAACATGAATTGTAGGCCCCCACCCAAATTCCAAGATTGCTGGATTGTAATTGTAATGTAAATAATTTTGTTCTCATAATTGTCCTCTCCAACTTGTTCCAGCAACAGAACAGTCATCCTGTGTGTTGTGTAACCAACATCAACTGGTTTCAAAATGGGAGAGCTGGGAGCCATATAGTCAAGCCTCTGCTCCACCTGGGTGGATCTTGGTACTGGATCCTACATCTGCAAAAATCACTGCTGACAAATCATCCTACCAGGGCCCAGTTGTCCTAAAAATATCCAAGCTTCAAACTTCACATAAAGCTTTACTTGGAATCCAGGTTTTACACACACTAAAGAAATGGAAATTTTTGTGATTCTCTGGATTCAATTAAAACCAGTTATCGAAAAGTTATTTGATTGGAGTCCCTGATGAAGCAATAGTTTGAGTGTGAAAACTGAAAGGATTGGCCCAAAGAATTAGCTGCTTTTTAGAGTTTAAAGCTTGCACCATGACAATCTCTTCTGCACAGAAGTCATGGTGACTTTTTGCTGGTTTTGACTTGAATATTTTATGTACAATTAAAAAGATGGTAAAAGTTAAACCTGACAGATATTCCCATATTCTGAACCAGAACTGCTCATGTTTCATGCTCTCAACTCAGAGTAAAGGAGGTTCCAGCTTACTATTCATTAAAGGCAGGAGCAAAAAGACTCCAAAATATTCTGCATGGGTACCAATTACAATGTATTTACTGAGAGAAGACTTGCACAAGCATCTAATTATGCCTTCTTATGCATTATTACTGTAACACACTGCTCCATACCATATGCTGATCAGACCTGGCTACAGACAGACAACATTCTGACTAGACACAGTGTTTTAAAGACTTTTATTAATAAAAAGTTTTGCACATCTAAAATACATGCTTGGTCACAGGTACAAAACCCACAATATAAAAGATAAATAAACAAAAAGGAAAGTACATGGTTTAGTTAAAAAGCCTAAGGCTGTAGACCTACTCTGCAGGCTAAAGCCTGCTCCAAACAGAGCCTTGTGCTACACCCTGGATGTCAGCAGACTTTGGTCCTTGCTTCACTACAGGAGTGAAGGGAGAGCAGGGACATGGGAACAACCATCCCCCAAAACTGCAGCCAAGAGGTTGAGCTTGTCAGAAATGTCATTTTAAGGATTTTTGATAGAAATGTTGATTCTGATGAAGCATCTTGAAAAACATGTAGATATTTAAACAAGGGGGACCTCGGCCCCTCTCCTTACAACTTCAAAATTATTCACTCAGAGAACTACCCACATTTGAGGCTTCTTCAGTTTTCTGGAATTCCAAAATTACATTCTATTAAAAAAAATGTTGGCATAATTCCATGAGATGGTGCACTAACAAATCCACACAGAATGAACAGCTGATGGCTCTAACTTTATTTTCAGTCATTGTGTTCTGACCAGCTTTGGGGCCAGCCTTGATGGTTCAGAAGCCCAGGTGATGTGCTCAGAGCTGCACACTGGTGGGAGCTGTCTTCTGTCCCCACTACCTGAGGGCAGATCTGCCTGCAGAAATGTTAGAGGCCAACACACTCTGCTCAGACTGCAAAGCTTTCTCATGTGGAAAGGAAGTAGCAGTTGCTAAAACTGGATGGATGCAGTCACCTGCACTGCAGTGCAGGTGCATCTGAACTGGAAGGTTCCTCAGGCAAAGGCTGCTACTCCGTAACACAGATCAGCTCTCGGGGAGAACCACTGTTCCTTCTCATGCTTCTCCATTGCAGGCTTGAAGACTTGAGGGTGATCATAACGATTCAGATGCAGCCATATCTCTTGTCCTCTTTGATACTTCCTACACTCATGATGCTGAGCCATGTTGAGATGAAGTAGCACAACAGACTTTTGGACTTGGTCAGGTTCTGCACACAAAGCCAGGGGAGCTAGCTCCCAAGCAACTGCAACCTTGCAGTCACCTACTTCAGCTAAAACTATGCCAATATTAAGCATGCTGTGCTAAGCAGCATCCCCTTCTTATTGACATCACCGTAATCCACGACCTCTGCTGACATACTGGCTCTACTCTCTTCTATTCAAGAAATCAAGAGGACCTCCATTCCCTCATGCAGCCTCTCTCATCCAGGCTCTTCACTGCACTTCCCAGAGGCCTTCATCTATTACTGCCATCAGGCAGCAGCACAGACCTCCACAGCAGACTACAAGAATCATCTTCTCTGGCAGAAGACTAGTATCAGTGCACAGCAACAAGTCTTCCAGCAAAGAGAACCTACCTCTCTCCCTTTTCAAAACTGGTAGTGGTCTCTCTTGCCTAGAGAGGACTCCAGGTCATGGACATATGCTTGGAAGCGATGACCAGCAGGGGAACAGAGAGGTCTGGAGTCCAGGCAGTCCTTGACTGCCAGAAAAGTCACACTTTTTCTTGGGCCTCGACCCCATACCATTAACTTTGGTGCTGCTGGGGGCAAAGGCTGAGCTACAGTTCCCTGCTCATAATGATGCCTCTGTTTTTTGCACAGCAAATGTGCAGACCTTGGAAACTGAGGCCAAGTCAGAAGAACCCTCTCCTGTTTGTAGGGAGTTTTCCATTCCTCTTGCCAGTGAAGCAACGGAACTGCTGGAGGCAGGAGATGAGCTGGTGGGCATGCAAGGAGATGCTGAGGGAGTTCTCTGCCCACAGGGCAATCAGACTTTGAAGAGCTTTTCCCACATGGCAGTGGTACAGCTGATGCTGAATGCTGAGCTGGATTACGAGCAGTGTCACACAGGCAGAATCCTTTCCTGCCTGCAGAGCAGTCCTGTTTTAAAGGACTGGCCCCACATCTTGCTGCTGAAGCTGGAGCCACAGGCCTCACTGGTTTCCCAGTTCGCCTAAACCAGAAGCGTCTTTTCCTGCGCACAGGATGGTCGCCTAAGTACACAGTTAAAATCTGTATCAGGAATCAGCTGAGAAGTCCTGCTCTGGAAGCAGGAAAGCAGAAGACTCTCAGGAGTGATGTGGACTTCAGACAAGGGAGGTATCCACCAACAACATCGGTCCAAGGTGGGCTCCATGTTCAGAAAGCATTGGACATGCTTCCTCTGAAACTTCCAGCCCCTGCCTTCAGCACCCCAAACCAGTCACTGATGAAAAGCTTGGCTCTATCATTTACTCAGGAGATTAGAGGCCCAGAAGGATCCTTCCAGAAGATGACAATCATACACAATTCCACTAAACCAAGTCTCTTGGCCAGAGGACTACTTTATCTCATACACTAGAAGAAATTCTGGATTGTTTTCCACTGAAAACAAACCTCTGGATCATAGTACATGTGGTTGGACATTTTCAAAAGTTTTGAATCAGAAGAGGAATGAAAGAATTTTCACTGGAAACCTGTCTTTGTTCTGGGCAGTTCTCACAGAGTGCCTGAATATAACCTCTCAAAAACAAGATTTATCAAGGATTCAGAAGTAAATGGTGAGAAAATATCTGGTAACCAGAGCCTGCCATTTGGCACGGCCAACCTAAGGTACCACCTGGGAAACATGAACAAGAGTGCCAGTTTCCACCATTCACTATCTGTCCTACAGATGTGGACAAAAAGCAAGATCACGTTGCATAACCCTGTTTACCTACAGGGATCCCCACTGGCCAAGCACTTCATTCAAAGCAGCTGAATACATTTCAAAACTAAACTTACTTCTACTTTAGGTTTGTAAATAGCCCTCTAATCATCCTTTTGAAGATAACTCAGCAAAATTAAATACATTTTGATGTCAAAATCCGCACATGACACAGTAACAAACACTGCATCTCTGCCTAAATAACTAAGAAAATGGAAAGCAATTTTCTTTCCTTTTGAACTAGCATTAAAGGAGCCCATTTCATAGATCAAAAAGAGTTGTAATAAAAAAATGCAGCACTTACATTTTTTCATAGAGGCACTTGCATCCAAGAATGGGTGATGAAAAAATTCATCTGAAAAAAAAAATCAAGAACAATGACAGTGAAAAGCATTTCATAGATCAAAAAGAGTTGTAATAAAAAAATGCAGCACTTACATTTTTTCATAGAGGCACTTGCATCCAAGAATGGGTGATGAAAAAATTCATCTGAAAAAAAAAATCAAGAACAATGACTCAGTGAAAGGAAATGACTAAGAAGTTTACAAAACGGTTAAAGCACAGCAAGTTACAGTATTTTACAGTGATTTTTCCATGCAATCTGGTCAACCAGCCTGGCTGAGGTTCCATACAGTAGTGGTCAACAATGCACACTGGGAACTGAACGCAAGATCTACCCACAAAAAAAGGATGTGAAGTTATTTGGATCCAGGGATTGCTAGGGAAGCATGAAACAAAAAAAAAGTGGCTCCTCTGCTACCAAACATCTCTGCCAAACAGAAGTGGGCAGGGTGGGGAAGGGAAATCAGATGGAGCAATTATATGAATGAAGAAAGGGAGGAAAAGAAATCTTTGCCACAAGCATGGCCGAAGGACTCGAGGGTTTGTACTTTAATACTGATAGTGAGTCCTAACGGATTTTTCTTCCCCACAGGGAATTAAAGAACTTAGAAAGGTTTTGCTGCCAGGGAGAATACACTAAATTACTTGTTAATGTTCCTCTGTCTTTCAACAGCTCTTACACTTCTAGGAATGGGAGTTACTGAGGGCCAGATGCCCGTGACCGCCATGATCGCATTTGGAAATTCTAAGGCACAAAGAAGTGCTAAATCCTGGTGGATCAGGGTTGCAAGTCACCCTAACTGCAAGGATCCAGGGGAGCTGTATTTATCACATCTCCACAGGGGAGAAATGATGGACAAAAAGGACTTCCACTGAGGGATCTTCACCACACACAGACTCAAATTCACCCTGCACTGAAGGAAGAAATGTTTTCTAAAAAGCCACCATAGAACCACAGCCAAATATCCCCTCCTTTCACACCAGACACAACTGCTGCTTTCTTCACTCATTACAGGAGGAGTTCTACAGATCCAGGCCAAGAAAAGCTTCTGTCCTGGCTTGCTGGAAGTCTTCTACATGTTAGCCTGTCCTCACAAGTAGCCACTCCTCCTGACTGCTTGTTTCTGATCCACTGCAGCTCTGTGCCAGAGTCCTCTCATATCACAACCAGCAACTCAACCCTTCAGGAGCGTTAGTCATGGATCAACACTAATCATTTGGCCAACTGCAGGCAGTTCAACTTGTTTTCCCAGCATCAATTTCCTGTTGCAACACCCAAGTTTACAAACTTCTGTTTTCTATAAACAGCTCCTCTTTGGTCAGTGAGATTTCCAGAAAGTAGCAACTGAGTTTGTCTGTCTGCTTTTTAGACTTAATTTCCTCTCTCCCTGGCTCCTCCTTGCCACTGCCATGCCAGGGCCCTGCAGCCAGAGTGCACTGGTCTGGAGCTCAGCACAAGTGATGGAAATCTCTGGCCAGGAAAGCTGGAATCTCACAGATAAGATCTGCTGTGTATGAACAACATGCCTATCCTGCTGGAAGCTGCTCATCTGCTGGAGCTTCCTACTTCTTTAGGCTGCTCCTGTAGAGGATAACATCCCTGACCTGAGCTGATTCAACTGAGGGAGTGGAAATTATCTTTCATTTTTCCCCCTCCCTTCTCCAAACTGCTTACTAGTTGTGCTTGTAAAGTAAACTTTAAACAATCTTCCTTTTAATCATCAGTAGGAAACTTGCAACTAGAAATCCTCCTGGCTTTCCTCTAGATACTCTTGAGATCTCAAAGACCATCAGCTTCTGGTAGAAGAGCAGCTGAAACACAAGTAAATGAAGTTTCAGTCTTACTTGTTGCTGTTGTGTGAATCAACTAAACTCTGGGGGAGCTCCGTGGAGCCCTCAGGGAACAAGGAGCAGTAGGACACACTGCTCCTTTGGGGACAGGTGTTCAGGAATCATCCCTGATTCAGCAGCACACCAAGAATCTTCACTTTATGAAGCACAGGAAGGCAAAGGAACAGTGAACAAAGACAGTGACCATCAGCCAAAGTAGACCTTTCAGAAGTAGTGTAGGTGAAGAGAGCAGTCTACAGTTGTTAGTTTGCCAGTAGCAGAACAAATCATCTGTCTACTGAGGGCTACCTAATGGAAGAGGGAGATCTGGGAGATCAGCTTTAGGTGGTACTATGAGCTCTGGGGCATTAACAGGTTGTGTGCTACTGGCCACAGATCACAGCTGAGAACATGGTGACAGTTGGGCACAGGGAAGTGCTCCCATTTCAGTATTGCTACTATTTTGGCAAGGGACAAAATTTGGAGCTTTCCTGAATTGGTATTAAGAAAAAGAAGAAGGGTCCATTCAGCAGGTGTAGGTCAGAGCATTTCAAAGCCCTTAGGAACACAGAGGAGCTGAAGACCTAGCACCAGCAGACAGCATGGCAAGTAAAACAGTTGTGTCACAAGTCAGGAGGAAGCTCAGATGCTTCAGCAGATTTTCAAAGGGTCAGAGGAGAGGAGGCAAGGGTGGATGAGACCAAGATTGCAACTGGATGCTGAAGACGTGTATTGGTCTAAATAAATCATGGCTTTGGTGCTTGCTTTCCTCTCCACCAACAGGAGAGAGGAAATGCCATATTTTAATATGACATGGGATACCAAAAAAATCACTGAGATCTGCCTTCTATAAAGCACATGGAAAACTGCAAATACAGGCTTCTGTATAGAATATTTACATGAACTCTGCCTGAAAAACAATTACACCTTACAAGGACATGGCAATTTATAGAGAAAAGGATCACACGCAATTAAGGGCAGGCAACGAGCTCAGTGCTGCAAGATGTGCTGTAGCTGTTGTCCAGAGTGAAATCAAAGTATATTATCTCAAATTTCCAAGTGTTAGACACTGACTCATGCAGTCTACTCCCAAGAGGTACAAAACAGCTTATGGAGGGCTAAAAAGGTTTACCAGAATCAGTATCTGACACCAGGGAAACAGGAACCTCAAAGATATTTTCTTTTGAAATGCACAGCAGCGTGATAGAAGAGGTAGAGATCCACAGCCTAGACAAAAACTTGCAGTGAATAATACTGAGAGGTGCCTATATCCAAGTCAGTCTTTCAGCAGCTTCAGCAACTCCCTTTTCAAAAAGCTTTTTTCTCCCCCCCTCACTTCTGCACCCTAGTAACCAGTCCTTTACATTGTACACTGGATAATTATGACCAGCTTCAGTTAATTCACATGTTTGCTTCACACAGGTGACACTATCACCAAAAAGGCTTTCTTTTTGGACATCTCTATTCCAAAAGATTGACAGAGGCTACAAAACAATTTCCCTCCATGAACTAGCATATACTACCCAGCAAGAAACAATCCACTTGAGCAGACAAGCAACACAAACAGATAACAAACCCCCCAAACCAGAAATGTCAAATCCTTTTATCCCAAGTCTGACTGAAAAGCAATATCCTGAAAACACAAACACACTTGATTCTCAGGAAAAAAGGTGAAGCCTGTGCAAAAAGCACACAAATCCATGGGTTTGGGCCCTCACAGCCTTTTTCAGACAAACCAACTGAAGTCTTGCCCAGCACAAAAACCTACTGGAATACAGAGGCTGGGGGCAAACTTACCTATTCTACCAACAGCCCCATGAGAGGAAGGGAGAGGTAAAGGGAAGAATAAAAGGCAACGGAGTGGTCTTAAAGCAACAGAAGTTCGGAGACAGTATAAGAGCAGAAACCAGGAGAGGGAACATAAGACCCATTTTCTGCAGACGAGCCAAATCTCTGGGTTTACAAAACTGCACTGGAATCAGCATTAACCTTTCCAGCACATATACCAAAGACCCCAAGATTATGTAATGTTCCAGGCACAGGTGACATCCAGGTGTCTGGGATGCTTCTCTAGGCATGAGCCAAAAGTGCAGAGGTTTGTGCAGTGCCATGGCACAGAAGACTACACAGACAGGCAGAAGAACTGAAAATGGAAGGAGGTCTTACCAAAGTCCATGCGGTCCTTATGGTTACGCTGCAAAAGGCCCAGCAGCAGCTGCCTCAGGTGGCTTGATGTCTCCCTGGGGATGCTAGGATTGAAAACAAAAACAAAATAAGAGAGGCTTGCAGTCTACTTAAACTGCTTTTACATATTCAGGAAGGCAACCTGCAAATGCAAACTCATTTTGTGCCTGCTGGGCTAGGACCATAAGAGCAGCTTGCTGGAGAGAGGCTGAAGAGGAACATCTCCATTTGCATCTGTTTGGCTTTTACTCCCCATTGTAATTGTAAGGCTACAGCTAATCTAGCTGTAGTGGCCTCTCCCAGGAGCACCTGCAGTTCCTTCCCTTCCACAGTGCTGCCAATGACATCCCTCTGGTTCTCAGCCAAATCCATTCAACAAGCAATATTTTGCATATGATAAATAAAATCTCTTCTTCTAGTATGAATAAGGTCATTAAAATAAAGCAGTAACCAAGGGGAAGCTTTCAATTAAGACACTGGTGGTGAATCATATCACCAATTATTACCATTTTATTAAGGCATTTCTTTTTCAATGCAGCTTATGTAAGGCTAGGAAGCAACCTTTGTCTATTTGCTTGATATACAGCATTTACTAATCAAAGGCCATTAAGAAGTGAGCAACTGCCACCCAAGCAAGCTAAACTTAGTGCAGCTCAGCTACTGCCACAGTTTCCAGCATTGCTAGGAAGAAAATACTCTTTCAACAGCCATGGCAGCACAAAAGAGCTGGTAAATCAATGTCCTCTCCCTCACCCCACAAGCAGATGGGGAAGAGGCCAGGGCAGCTCTTCACAACCTTAGTAGATTGGAAGAAGCAGGGAATAAATGAAGTGCTTAATGCAGGGAAAGCCAAGTTCAGTTCTTGCCTAAGAGGATTCAGCTCTGCTGGCTTATCCTCCTTAACCAGCAGCACTCTTGGGCCTGCCCACGGCCAGAGCACAGCTCTCCAAAATAAGCGTAGGTGGCTCCAATTCCTTCCAGGATTGCCTCTGTTTACCATGGCTGTGCCCAGCATGGCCCCCACAGTCTGCCAGGCTTTCCCCTCTCCCCACACTCAGGTCAGCTGAGGTAACAGCCTGTGTGCTCAGCTCAGTAATTCCGAGCCTGCTCAGCACTGCAGCACGTGGCAGCAGGGGCAGGGCTGGCATCACCCACCACCCTGCAGCCTGGCCCAGCTGGTGCTGGGAGAAACAAGCCTTCCTGCACCTCTACCCACAGCTCTACCCCTGTTACAGACAGAGTGAAAAAAAAAACAACAACCCACAAACAAAAACAAGTAAGCTGGGACAAAAACAGTGGAGGAAAAAGAGGTGCCAGCAAGCACCAACAGATCCTTGCTCAGCAAAACTAGAGATGTGAGGCAAGGTGTGTATTTATAGGTTTCAGCACTGCCCTGTTATTTTTCTGTGAAGCCCTAGGCCTCCCTGGCACAGGAATTTGAACCCAGTGATTCCTAGAACAGAGAATGATGGCATGCATCCCCCATCCTTGTTTGTCCTGGAAGAGCTGCTTTTCCAGCCCTGACACCAGTAAGGTTCTGTGCACTTTTCCAGGCCGACAAAGGAAGAGGCCACCAGAACTACAGAAGGGATGTAGTTAAAATTAGACTCAGTTTGAGCCTAGAAAAAACAGCCTCTCATCAAAAAAGGTGTGCCTTAGAAGCACACTGTGTAACAGAATAACCTAAGATACTACAGCTAGCAGAGTCTCCTGAAAAATACATTAGTGCTGGAGGCCTGCAGTCCTCCAGCATTATCATCATGATTTATTTATCCATGACACGTAAAGCTTTCATCCAAAATGAGTCCATTTCCCAGCAATGACTCCAGCTTTTGCATGGTTTTAAGAAAGAGGCAGGTCAAGCAGTAGACCTCAGATGTTGCAACACAGACTGAAGACAGTGCAGATTAACTGCCTATGTGTATTCTCTCTCACATCTAAAACATCAAGCTTTGCTACCCTACAGTATTATCTTCCAAGGCTATCTTTCTAAACATAGGCAAACAAAGTGCCCCTTTCCCTCCATGATCTAGAATATATTTTGCCACACAACTCAATAAAATGAGCCTCAGCTATTCAGATCAGTGCTATTAAAACTGTGAGAGCTTTGGGCTTTCTCCTACTGACATGGGACCCCCAGCTCAGAACATTTCACCTGTCAGCAACAGCACCAGCCTGGCAGGCAGAGACCACTGATAAGCATTTAATGAGCTTTCTTCCCCACCCCATTCCCAAGCCAAAACACAGCCCTTTCCATGGGGATGCAGGGAGGTGGGTGCCAGCCTGCCTACCCCCAAGGAAAATGAAACCAGATCCTGGCACTCCTGCAGTCGGAGAGGGAGGTCTCTGGACTGGTTTCATGTTTCATTCTGTGTTGGCAGGGCTGGCAGAGGCAGTTTATTCATGTTTACTCAGGAAATAGCACAGATTGCAGTTCATGTTAAAGAGACAAACTGACTTTGGAAAGCAGGGAATGGGCATTTACACAAAGGCCACTTTGGATCAGACTTCTATGGTGATCTAACAATGGTCTTGGGTGAAAAAGCAATGGCCTCGGATCTAAATTTTTGAGGAACGTGGTAGTTAAAAAGTGTACATAAGGGAAAATGGTAAATCCAGAGTGTGTAAAGGACTTCCAACAAAGGAAAAGGACTAATCCCTACATGAACAGACATGCCTTCCTCTCACAGCTGAGTTTCATTTCTCCTCTCACTTGCCTCCCACTGCACACACCACCAGCCAAAGCAGCAGCAGGGCAGAGTGAACAACACAAGGAAGTTTATTAATTGCAGGCATTAATTTTTTTGTGTTAGTAAGAGGGACTAACTCAAAGGTGAACAGCCATGTTTCAGGCTGTGTGGGGGAAACAGAAGCTCTGCTTTGGGCTCACAAGGACTACTTGGCTTCAACTATGCTTCTTGCTTTGTATTTCAGTGTTTTACTCCATCATGCCCTCTGATTCAGTCCAGATGAGCACACAGATGCTCCAGTAGAAGCTTACCCCTTTGCCCTACATCAAAAAAGGAAGTACTTAGAAGGAAATGAATTGCATAGCATAAGTCATTGATAACAGCTCTAGCTTCTTGACAGTTCCTTCTTCTATCTCTTGGAGCTCTCTAAACTGATAGGAAAAAAATCCACACACAGCAACTTTCTGCATATGTGGCTGCATGAGCAGCTCTGCCAAATGGAAACTAACTTCCCAGTTAAAAACCTTCCCATGTTTTGATGTATAAACTTGGAACTTCAGTTCTGTCTTTATGCTGGGCTAAGGTTTTAAGAGAAGGCATGAGGTTCTGCTTTAAGAGCTCAGAGACAGAAAGGAAAGAGCACAGCAACAAAACACCAAAATACACTGACAAATCACAGCACTGAGTGGCAGCGAGATGCTTCGCTAGGTAACACACCCCAGTGGGACCAAAGCAGTTATCTTGCCCTTGGAAACTGCAGTAGTGTCCATTTCCATTGAGGTTAGATTTCCTCCTATTAGCAGGATGGACACTAGCAGTTGCTGTCCTGACACATGGAAAAAGGGAATGTGATCTGCAGTCAGGTATGGAAGGTTACAGAGAGACTGCTTGTTTGGCTGCTCGCATGATCCAGGAATTGCCATGATTTCTTCCCAAGGCTTCCAGCCTTCAGGAAGCCACATGTGGGACAAGACCACTGCCTGGCTCTTGAAATCACTAATCACCCTGCATTTTTGCAATGTAGGAGAGAAGCAGTATCTCTGAAAAGAGAGAACACCAGATCTGGCAATCCACTGCTGACTTTCTCTGGGCCACATCACTGTTGGTATAAGGAACTGGGGAAGGCAGGTGGCCAAATATCTTGCGGTCACCTTCTTGAATGACAAGCAGGAGCATGTGAGGACAGGTGTAAAGACAGAGCAGACAAGCGTATACAAACAGCAACACTGGACAAATGCTTACTTCGGCATCAGCATCTTGTTTTTCTCATAGAAGAGACGAAGATCCTGTGGGCTGCTGGCCTGTAGAGGAGAAAGAAAACCAGAGCATGAAGCAGTTGACAATGAAGGAAAGGAACTGGTATTTCTGTATCACAGTTACTCTGAAGAGCAGAGAGGCACTTTCCAGTTGCTGAACCAGCACAGACAACAAGAACCTGCAGCTTGCTTTAGAGTGATAAATCCAGCACTGTGCCAGAGTGAAAACACAGTATTTCAGCCTGTTTGTTGTCTTTTTCTCCCTGACCTGGTTCTGTCCTGCTCTTCCCTTTTAAGGGCTGAGCTTCACTGCAGTAGGCTCTGATGCTCAGGTCTGAGCTGGCCTAATAGCCTCACCCAGGAGGCTAAAATGATTGCAGACCTGAGGAGTTCCAAATTATGAATGGCAGCTCCTGCTGAGAACATGGATTAGTGCTGCAGGGCATTTAGAAAGGGGGAAGAGAGCCTGTTGATGGGCAAGGGTAATCTATGAAGAGACCATGGAGAAAAAGCAACTGAATTAGGATTTTCTACTTTAATTCCAGGAAGCCAGAAGGTCTCAAGCCACAGCTCCAATTTATGCAATAATATACACAACACTTGGGAACACTGATGACAAAAGGTTTATGGCTCAGGTTAAAAATAAAATCTCCAGTACAGAAGCACAGACACAAAAATCTCCCAACATAGTTTCTGCATTAGTTTTTATGCAATTAATAATACAGGCCAGTAAATTAACCCTATTGTCTCAAGCTTTTCTGCTTAGGCAAAGTCTCTTTATTAAAGGCAAAGCAGGCTGGCTGGCATGACACAGGCATGAAGGCCCATATAAACAGGGAAGGAAGATCAGAGGGATTCGTCTACAATTATTGCTGCAGCAGAGTGTGTAGGAAAGTGTGAGTGAGGAGGCAACAAGCAGCTTCTCCCGATGTTCAGGGTAGGCTAAAAAACCCTTGAGCCTTTCACCTACTTCCATTTCTAAATTAGAAGCATTTAAGGTCAATTAAGATGCTTAAACCAGCAAATCAGACAAGTCAGGCTGCAGATGGCCATCAAAATACCACTAAACACAGCATGGCTGGAAAAGCAGCCACATAAGATGCTGTTTCAACATCAGCTACTCCCTCTGGCTGGAGATGTAAGTTAAGGATACCTGTGAGAATTCAGAACAAAACCTCATGAGAAACCAAAGTCTCAAAAGACTGCTAATATCAATAGACTTGTGTAGTATTAATATGACAGTATTTGTTCCATAGCCTTAGCAACCCAAGCTCTACAGCTCTCCTATCAATGTGCACCAATAAAAGCTGCTGGATTCCTAAGAGAAGGAAATAAAGATTTCCTGGCTCTCCTTTCTGCAACAACCTACCCTTTGCTGTTCAGCAAGAACCCAAAGAGGAGATGCAAAAATACTTTCTTCATAAACCATTAAAATGAATGTTATTCAGCAAAGCACCCTGTGACATAGATTCCAAACTGCATCAACATTTCCAATCACTTAATTTGGTTCAGTCAAACTCCATTTTACACCTTTCCCCTTGCAGATCCTGTTCCGTAATTAAATTCTTCATATTTGGCAAACTTCAAGGAAGCAAGGGTACACACTGCACCAAATGGCTTGGCCACAAAGCTCTGTGTGATGAAAAATGTGCCTGACAGACATAATGTGAGAGAAGGAACTGAACTCCATGCAGGGAAGCAAAGTGTTGGCTCACATCAGAGAGATACAAGCCTTGGCTGTTTGCTCTGTTCATTTCCTGTCGCTACATCTCAATTGTTTCACAAATACAATGAAGCTCTGATCTATTTCAAATGCTGTTTTGTCAGTATTATTCCTGGCAATAAAGATAGAGTATATTAAAATCACCACACATGCAAAGCCCAGTTCATTACAGAGGATTTCTAAGCAGTAGCTTGGATAAAAACAAACTCCTCAGTGAAGTTCCCCTCCTCTTTGTACAAATTAAAAAAGATATCCCTGTAGGGATGTTGTTTCTCCACATTCTGCTGTCTTGGTACAATTCCCACTTGTTCTGCAAGGACCACATCCAGAGTGACAGGCTCCCCACCCAGACCTGCTTCCTTATTAGGGCTGTCCCCAGAAGCCCACAATACAAGTCTGTTCTCTGATACAGGCAGCTCCCTGCTGGGGAAGAGAGTAATTTGGGATCACCATTAATTTGGTAAAATCAACCACATCTTCATGTAACTTCATTATTAATCAACTGAATCAACCAGTTCTGCTCCTCGCAGCAGATTCTCAGGCTAGCAGCAATGTGCCCATGGCCCTCCTGCTGTTACCATCCATTTCACAAAGCACTGATACCTTCAGCCACTCTGCTCACCTCTTCTTCCATACATAGAGCTTCTCGGAGAATAACAGAAAAAATGCAGAAGTGTTTGTATTACATTAAAAATGCCATTTGAATTCCTTCTTCTAAGAAGCTATGGCCTTATTTTGAAATCTGCCTTCCAGGCAGATACACCCTACCCAAGAGAAACACCAGAAAGCAACTTTTAGGCACCTAACAGCTAGACCACTCAAGAGAAACAGAGCCAGCTGCTACCTGTAAGATAGCATCCATCAGTCAGAAGCAGAGATGCAGAACAGGCAGCTCAGTTTCCCCCACAAACAGGAGACAGGCCAGCAGGCAAATTCATGCCCTTATTCTCCCTCTCATGTTACTACGGAGCAGCTGCATTAGTGTTCCTGGCTCTGTTCTTGTCTGTCCTTTCTATATACAAGGACAATTGGACAAGTTCAATCTTGCCACTGTTACTCTGGTCTGAGCAGCAGTGGAAATATGTTGAGCCAACCCTGGCATTCAGCA